TCTGCTCGTAGTGCCCGGAGGAGGCTCCGGGGAGCAGCGGCGGCTGCTCCGGCTGAACCCGCGTGGGTTTCCACGGGAGCCTCCCGGGGGATGTGGAGGCGCCCGGAGCCGGGCGGGGGGGGCTCCCCGCACCCCCCTCCATGAGCCCCCCGGGTGAGGGGGATCCCCCCAGCTGAGGGGGGCAGCTGGCGGCCCTGCCAGTCACCCTCCGGGGTTCAGCTTCAAACCGTGGCTGGCGAAGGGTCCCGGGCGTTCGCCGCGCTCGCACACGTGGGCTCCGGGGTTCATTTTGTCATTCGAGTTCGTTGTTCGGAGCCGTTTCCAGCGGCCAAGGTCAGCGGGCAGGTCTGGTCCCGGCCCCTGGCGATGAGCCGCAGTTCCCCCTTCCCGGGGGGGACGCGCCCGTTCCAGGGGGGATCCCGTTCTCCAACCCCAGCGCGGCTCCTCGGTCCACTTTTCCTCACAAAGTCGCTCTGTCGCCGGGTTTGTGGCCGGCCCCGAGCTCCGGCCGCCGCTCCCGTTTTGCAGCAGCCCCAGGCCCTGCGATTTACCTTCGTGTAGCGACATTTTCCGTCGCGCTCCACGAAGGTCCCCCCGCTCCCCAGCCGTGTCCGTGTGTCCCCCTCACACCTTCCTCGGCTCTGCGGGCACAAACCCTGCTCAGGGTGGGATTGGTTACAGTTTCCGTGGTCAACACTGTCAGCACATCGCTGCGACGAAGTTTTTTTCGATTAATCCTGGAATTTAATTTCATTTTTTTAATTTTTCAGTAAACACCCGTTTTAAACGCCCCCGTTCAAATAATAACTTTTAAAAAGTCATCACTCATTGCTTTAGGTTGTTAAAATGAACAGTAATTTTCACGCCTCTCTTGGGTGGAAAAGCGAAGTGGAATGCTTGAATAAAGTGGAATATTTCTTTTATTTTTATTTTTTTTTGTTTTCTTCTTTTTTTTCTCCCCTCCTTCTCTTTCTTTCTGCTGCTGCAAAAGACACCGTGTGTTTGCAGATGTGCCCGGGGGGTGCAGCGCGGGGCCGGGTTTTTGCAGATGTGCCCCCGTGGGCGCGATGCGGGTCCGGCCGCGTTCAGCGCGGGTGGGACCAGCCACGCTGCCCCGGCTCCCCCGGGCAGCTCTGCGAGCTTCTGCAGCTCAGGGACTAGGAGGTTCTCTGTGCCTGGATATCTCGAGCGCTCGGAGAAGAGCCGGGAGCTCCGTGCCCGGGAGCGAGCCCTTCCCGGCCGCGGGAGCCGCGGAGCGGCCGCGAACGCGCCTGGAAAGCGCCTGTTCGGAGGCTGAGCCCTGATTAAAATCAGGTGTTTAATGCAATACAAGGCCCAACGGTTTATGGGGTTTCAGCCGAGGATTTTTTAGGGATCACAGTTCAAAACAGTAGTCCGAAGCTAAGGTTTCAATATCCCAGGAGTATTTATTTGCGAAACAGATTAAACACGGACACGAGTGTGGGGATCTCGCCGTGTTTCCACCGGCGAGGTAGCGAGAACTTGGGTTACGGCTCAGAACCCCGCAGGTCCCTGCCCAGCTGCCCTTCCTGGGCTCTCCGGCCCCACGAGCGGGTGCGGGTGCCGTGAGAGCCCGCACGGCCCCCGGTTCGCGGCCGCCGAGCCGAGCGGGGCACGGGGCAGGAGAAACACGGTGTGCCGGAGAATTTCATTTCATTGGACAATATTTTAAGCAGATGTGAGGCTCCGCTGGGAATTCGACTCTATTACCTGGCTGGGAAAGGGGACGAACGCGTGTGCGCTGGGGTGGGAGAGGAATTCTCGGCAATTTTCAGTCCGGCTCCCCGGGACAGCGGCAGGTACCGGAGGCAGCGGAGCTGAACCGGGGCCGGGGATGTTTTTCGCTGGCTTTGTGGCTTCCCTCTGGCTTGGGAGCATCGAGTAATGGCTGTACATCAAAAGCCGAGGCTCGGGCAGGGTGCGGGGGGCGCAGCAGCCCCGGGGGTGCCCAGGTGAGCGGTGCCCCCGCAGCCCCCCGGGGTGCGCATCCCGCCAGGGCCGGGCTGTGCCCGCGGGACGGGGATGTGCGGGACGGGCAGGCAGGGGAAGGGCAGGCAGGAGAAGGGCAGGCAGGGGAAGGGCAGGCAGGGGAAGGCCACGCCGCGTCCCGGCTCTGCGGGCCTCGCCCGTCAGCGAGAAAATAAAATATGGGTGAGCGGGGAGAAGGTCCAGCAGCGGCCGGGGGTCTCGCTGCTGCTGGCGAGAGGGTGCAGAGGAGGCAAACAACACCAGAGTTGGGTGCTGCACGCCGAAAGCAAATTCGTTTCCTTTCGAAATCCCTGAATTTCAGAGTACAGATATAATTCCCAGCCACACACGGCTGGCCAGGATCGCAGGCTCTAAATAAGTGGTCGTGCTGGCAAACGGTGGCCAATATTTCTACGGTCCCGTTTGCTTTTCACTATTAGGAATATGACCGAGGCAAAGTTTGGAGCGGGAGTTTTCAGGCAGAGCCGGTGCATCCTGCGGGCAGGCTGGAGTGGCGGGGAAATGGTTGTGAATCCAGCCCTGCGCTCCCCGGGACCTGCTTCTCGATTTAAGGCTTCGCCTTTGAAGAGGAGACAGGCTTCCCGTTCACTGATATACATATATATACATTATATATATATATATAATTTTTTTTAGTAAGGGTGATGAGTCTGTGGAGGGAAACGGGAGCGGGAGAGGAGGGAAAGCAGAGGCTGCAGCCCGAGCGCCACTTCCCGGCGTGCGGCTCTGTTTGTGCTCCCACAGACGGTTCCAACGCTGGAACACGCGAAGGAGGAAAATTTATGGCGCTTTCGGCCGCTTAGGCTTTTTTCCCATTTCCAAGCCTTTTCCTGTGCCCTGTCCATACCCAGAGCTCCGGGCCCCGAGAGCGGACACCGGCCCCGGGGAGAGCCGTGTCCGGCCCGGCTCCCCTTTCCCCCGGGACCCGGGAGCTCGCCGGGGCTCTCCCGGGCTCCTCTCCCCGGGACCGCCGCGGGTGCGGAGCCCCGCACAGATGCGGGGCCGCCGCCGGGTCCCCGCCGTCGCTGCGTCCTCCCCCCCCCGTCCTGCCCCGGATCTGTTCAATTAGGCAATTAGGGATGCTGGGCAGGGAAGGGGGGGTTGATCCGCTAATTAAGGTGATGTGTAATTAGCACTTCAACAAAAATTGCCGAGGGTTTAAGATCGCTTTATACTCTTAAGAAAAAAAATTATCCGAATTCTGCAAATATAATTTATCAGTTCTCCCACCCGACCCGCGTGATTTATTTGGGAAAAGGCGCAGAGGGAACGAGCTCAAAGCGCGTCCTCTCCTTGGCCTGGGCAGGAACTTGGCAAAGGGGGATCGAGCCGGGGCTTTGACGTGGGGACTGGCTGCTCTCGCCCGCAGAGCAGCAGCTTTGAGGTGCCGAAGTGCCAAAGGAGACGCAGGAATCGGGGATTGAGTCCTGGCCTGCGATAACGTCCGTGCTCGTGGGTGTCCGTGCCCTCGGACGAAGTGCCTGTGATGTCTGTCCACGTGTGTTTACATCACAGGGCACTGCCGTGTGCGTGTGCGAATGTAAGTTTATAAAGTGCATCAAAGACAGGCACGTTATTCCAATTTCACTGAATTCCCGTGTCCTGTAAAACCTCCGTGTCGATGCAAAACGCGTCTGTGCAGATGCATTTGTCTGTCGAGCCGACAATGCACGTACAGAGGTCTTACAACACACAGTAAAATCACAGGTACTGTATGGTCAGGAACCAGAATGGTATGTGCAGAAAGTGGGCTGAATTTGTGTTTAAAAAAAATTTGTTTAGCACCTAAAGCTGTTTTATTTTTTAGACTTTGTGCTGGAACTGCTGTGTCAGTTCAGTGATGGCAAATGAGGTCTTTAATGAGCCAAAGGGAAAAAATAAAACAAGTGCATTCCTAAGGGTTGCTATTAAAAATACCTGAGGTCAGGAAAAGCAAAGAATTGCTCTTGTGCTCCGCACACGAACGGACACGGTCCGGTGTTCAGCCACACGTTCCCAGGATCAGAGGACCCCCAAACGGGCAGGATTCGGAACTCTCAGCCGAGAGAAAGCCAAGTGTACCTGAAACCCGCACAATCTGCCCTCCCGTGCAGGCAGGAGGCAAGGCAGGAGCTGGGATTTCCCGGCACGGCAGCGGTGGAACAGCGCCGGGCTCGCTGTGATAACACCCCGCTCCCCAGCCGGGGCTGCAGGGACGCTCCCTGGGCCGGGGACTCACCTGCCTGCACCGTGGGCTGGGACACCTGGGGGAATGACGGGGGAATCTTCTGTGCCAGAGGGAAACCTCCCCGCGCGGCGCCGCCGCTCCTTCGCGGAGCGCCCGGAGCTCCTGGCGAGGAAAGGCCCCACTGAGAGAAAAGCGTTATTATTGTGATTATGGCTCTGATTATTATGGCTTATATGTTTGATAAAAGCCCTG